TCACGTCATGTTCTGCTATATGTGGGAGAGGAGTCTAGGTCACCTATTTCATAAAATGTATAAAATAGTGCTTACCTCAGAGCTTTGAGGATGAGAAGTAGAAATACATGAAAACATTTAGCATAAAGGTTGACCCAGAGTAAAGATTTAGTGAACAGTAGTAAGTACCTAATCTTCTCACCACACTGACTGCAGCAGCATAATACAATAGACCAAGAGAAGGGATGTACTAGAATTCTAGAATACCAACACTGCTTCTGAAACCGTTATTGCTTTCAGCCATTGCAAATGTTTTTGATAACAATTCTTGCAGTGCTGGTATGGCATTACCTGGAATTATTATGTTTTTTGGAGGGGATTTCCATAAAATTAATGTGTTCTTTTAGCAGTGATTAGATGTTTCTGAATCAGTAACTACCGAAAGTTGAGGTGTGGGGGACTAACATAGTAAGAGGGGCTATAAAACTGACAACCTTCTATTACACCATCAAAAAACAAGACAGGGTTTAAAACCCTCAGCATTGTTCCATCACTCAGCCAGTCTCAGGTGCACAACACAGTAACAGAAGGGACAGGAGCAAAAGTCTTCTAGAGAGATCAACACTTTTGTCTCTTCTATGGGTGTAAATCTTTGGATCTACAGGTTGGAGAGGCCCTCACTTGCTTTTCTATAGTACCGCAAGGCATGGCCATGAGTAATACCAGTACTAGTTACCAAAGAATTGTAACAGCTACAGGAGACGGCCACTAGCTCAATCCACGCCTTTCTCTAAAACTGATTTTCTCGCAAATCTCTTCAGCATCCTGGGATGTTCTGATGGCCTAGGTGTCTCCCTCTACAGAGGTGTGGAGAAATAATTCAAATGAGTTTGCCTAAGTATTTTCACCACTTACTTTCCTTGAATTCCCCACGGTATTTGCAGTTCACTCTCCACCTTTCTATTTTCCAGCTCAGCCTAAAGACCTCTCAGCTCACGACATTTGCAAAAATAACATTAACTTTTAAAAAATGTTCATTGTAGAGTATGCCATAAACCGAATAAAGAATAGTACAATATTACCTTATTTCTGTAAATACTGCAGCCCGGGCTAATCCTCCTGCCACCATCTTCATTTTCTTAGGTTGATTCTTGCTGAATATTAACCTAGCATTTTCAACTACTATATTAAAAAAACTAAATCGGAATATCATTGTCTATTTCCGTGAGACAACAGGTAGACGAGCTGGGTGTGACAGTACACACTTTAGTCCCAGCTCTTCTGGAAGCTAAGGAAAGGGGACTGATTTGTCTGTAAATCTGAGATGAGCCAAGGCAACACAGCAGGACCCCGTGCCACAAACCATCCGAAGAGCTACTTGTAGGTTCTAAGACCTCAGGTTTTAGGCAAAACTGTTATAATAGTGGGTAATCAAAAGCAGTTTTCATAATAGCAGGAAGATACAAATGCTTTTATATTTTTAAAACATGATAAATATTTTAGACATACATCATTTCACAGTTGTCAAGAAGCACAAGGATTAATGAAGTTTTCACACAGATCAAACCATTATGTTAGCATTTAACGAGGTTAACCAGTACCCAGATATTTGAGCAGTCACAGGATTACATGGGATTCTTAAAGCAAATAGCCAGGCAAGGAGATGATCATTATGGCATGTGCTGATGGTCTGACCACACAGTCACTATGGACTTTGGAAACAGACGCCATAAAACAATAATAAATGAATAAGACTTTTAGTTGTAAGGCAAAATAAAAGTAATCCTCTGCAATTGCATAATACTATTCCTTCCTTTGGTCGCAGAACACATATCCTGATAACACAAACATTCTCTTTCTTTTCTCATAACAAAGCAGAGTTCCCTCTTTTCTCGTCTGGTGTTTCCAACTTCCCCTTCGGTTATGGCATTTCCTTTCAGCCTTTATGTTCAGATGTCTACCATCTCAGCTACACCTTACATTTCTGTCTACACCCCAGGGTGATGCACTATTTCCTTTCAAAAAGAAACTCCTTTCTTGAGTTTTCTTGGTTTCTAAATTTGAAGTGTCTTTAGGCATGGCTGTCTCACCTCCTATTTTTCTTCTTTGGCTTTGTTTGACATTGTTGATCATACTCTCCCCAAGGTGGCACTTTTCCTTATCTTTCTATGTGTTTTTAGTGGTTTTTGAAGCTGAGACTCCTAACTATTCCACTGCAATTGATTAGTAAAAGCCAAATACTGAACTCCGCTCCTCTTGCAGAGATGAAAAGTCCTTCGTTTTTTGCATCAGTGAGATGTATGAAGAGGGTGTCAAGAGATTTGAGGAAGAAAGGTTCTGCATGTAAGAAACAGCTACAGGAAGCTTCTCTCTCTCTCCTGCTAGATTTGAAAGAGGAAGTCTCCATCACCAATCATTGCTGGAAATAATTTATAATTGAGAGGAACAAGTAAAGCCAAGGAGAGTATGATAGCAGAGTGGAAAGGGAAAAAACCTCAAGTCATTAATGATGCCCTGTAGAACTGTGGGTTCACTCTCAGGTTCACTCTAGAACTTGTCCACTTCCTGTGGTAGTAATTTATTTCCTTAATGCATGAGGCCTTTCTATAGTTTGTAGAAGATATCGGAAAAAGTCTCTGGCTATTCCATCTCTGCCTCTTCTTCCTAAGTCTGTCTCTTAAATGTTGGTGTCTCTTCTGTCATTCTTCGATATACTCATGACTGAATCATACCACATTCTAATGATTCAGAAATGTGTATATCGACCTAAGTATAATCACATATCCACTCTACACACCCTCTTGGATGCCCTGAGGATGCCTCTAGTCCGTGTATTAAAATGCAAGCTTCCCTCTTTTCCTCTACTTCCATCTGTTACTCTTTCTGTGTTTTCCACCTTAGTGAATGGGACAGCATAACTAACATGATCAAATCAGGAAACTGGATGTCAATCTTGGAACTTTCATCTATTTCCCGTGAATCACAAGATGCTTTGGTCTCTACTTTTAAAGGACATATTAAATCCACCCGCTTCTCTGTACCATCCGACTGTTCTCCCTGGAGTACTAGGAAGTTTCTTAACTTATTCCACTGCACCAAGTTTTCTCTCTAGTATATTCACTGCAAAGCTTTTAGTGTGCTTTTAACCTGAAAATTAAAATACATCCATGTTCTTTTTTCAGTCTCTCACAAGATAAAGCCCAGACTGATCTGACTTCTACTTTTCTTCCTAGACTTATTTGATTCCATTGTTCTGTTTTTGACTTCCTGTTTCCTTCCTAAGGATAGCACGGTCCTATCATCATCACTCACATTATATTGTATCTACCTGGAGGGCTGGATATTACCCAGGAGGCAAATTAATAGCATACATAGCACCTGCAAGTCACGCATTACCAATTATCTTGGAAAAAATAATTAGATATTTCACATCATTACAAAGCTCTGACATAGTCATCAAGTGGGAAATTCACCTAGGTGATAAAGAATGTACTGATATAATAAATATGTAAATTATGAAGGTCAATTATATAATAGACTCTTGAGTTTAAAAACTAGAGTGTAACCACAACTGAACTTGAGAATTAGAACAGTACCGACAATGCCACCTGCCTCTTCCCCATCTTACCCTGTGATTTCCCTTCAGGGGTAATCACAATTCTAAATATCATGTTTATTATATCCTTTTAAAAATAGTCTTACCCATGTATTTAGGGTTAACCAGTTTTAGTATTGTTTGTTTCTGTGATTTGTAAATATAGTATTAAAATTTTTTTTTCAGCACCAGGAATTGAACTCAGGACCTTGTGCTTGCTAGGCAGGCACAGTGCCACTGAGCCACATCCCCAGCCCAGAAATATAGTATTTTTGATGTATGCCATGGCTTGGAATTTTTCCCCATTTGCTTAGTCTATTATAGATTTTATGATAGGAATGGTTTACTAATTTTTATTGCTGTGAAATATACTTTTATATGAATAACAGAATTTACATACTCTCTGCTTATAAACATTTCAGTTTGCCAAATTTTATGGTACTGTAAGCATCAGAAGTGCCTTGAATGGTGTGACCAAGAGTTTTGCTAGTTTGATACCTTGAGAGGTTTGGGGGAAGGCAGGGCACGTGCATGTCCACCTTCCCAAGCCATTGTGCTCCAGAAGTACAAGAGTTTCTTCTGCTGCTACACTTGCAAACAACTCGTGTTTTTCAAACCTTTTCATTTTTTACCAGTCAGATGAACACAAGATGGCATCTCTTTTTCATTCCCCTCATTGATAAAAGGGCTGTTGTGTTTCAATATTTATGTACTTTCTTGGTTTTCTTTGTATTTTACAATTTTAAAAATTGCATTACGTGCCGTTTTTAATTGATTTTCAAAGTTAAAAAAATACACTAAGACATACAAATCCCTTGAGCCTAATAATATGTTCTGAATACTTTCTCTCGGTTACAGCTTTCCTTTTACTCTGCTATGGTGCCCTTGAAGGCAGTATTGTTAACACCCACTGACCCCTCAACCTTACTCTTCGTTTTGCCTTCACCAGCATCTAGTCAGCGCTCTACTCACAGCAGGGTACATTCCTCACTGCCCACCACACGTCTGTTAACGCATGGCTATGACTTTCAAAATGGTAAATCAATCTGTGTATGGTCAAAATGTATTTTATGCAACTTGGTTACAGCCCACTGTGCAAGCTAAGAGAGGCCAAAGCCTGTGTCACACACCTCTCTCCACACTCAGTCCGAAAAGCATCTTACAATACTCCTACGAGTGGCACTGCTTTATCTGCAGGGAGGTGGCAGGGTGTTTACAAACATTCGTTACCAACTCGGAACACTTGGCAGTGTTCCTTTTCCATTCTTTTCAGTGTACTTACTGTAAGCTGAAATTTAGAATGGAGTAATGCTTTGTCTGAAGTTATCAACAAAGGTAGAAATGAGGCTGAGACACAGATATGGGTTACATATTACAACGAATGCACAAGGCTCAAGGTTTGTGTCATCAATTTGAAACTGGTTACCTTTTTAGTAACGGTGTCCGGAGGTACATCCCGCCTCCCAAGTGGGTAAGGATTCCACTGGCCACTAGGAGATACATCTTCTTGTCCATTGTCTAAAATGTTGCTTTGCTGGGACGGGGTCTATTGCGAAAATGGTATGGCATTCTTTAGTGATGTAACAGAAGTTTATCATAGTTCTCTGAAAAGAGCCCCTAATAATTATGGTAAAATTAATTTTGTTTGATTGTAGAAAAAATATATCCTAACCAAAAACATCTGCCTAAAACTGTCTGCTGAATATAAATTCTCAATTACAGCTTTTTGGAAGCAGTGAGAAATACAAATAAAACAAACATCTTAGAGTTATTTGCTGATTTAAAAACAACTTTAAATTGTGTATAGTACCTGAATAAAAATAATTGCAATAAAGTCAATCATTAAAAACTACAACATTTAAAGCTTTCCTAGCTTGTCTCTTTAGTATTAATCTTACCAGTTAGAATATAAGCTGAAACCATGTAATCTATAGTATGGAACTTATAACATTCCAAACCATAATCATAAGGTTATAATGATTCTGGGAGAATACACCTTTCACTAATCCAAAACAATTAAAATGCACATAGTGCAACATTCCAAAGTACTATGATGTTACTGACAGATAGCTTTGGAGAAAAGTTAAACCAACATCAAAAATATTATGCTACAAGAATCACTGTAAAAATAAATCTTGACTTCCAATTACTAAATTTATATATACCACATATAAAGTTTAAGCTCTTCACAGATTTTTAATTTTTGGCTGATTTCCTGATTACTGTTGATAAATAATAACACCTTGCCTTTATTATCCCTAGTATTAGATATTTTAGGAGGACTTCTTATTCTAAACAGAGTAATAGCAAGCAATACCAGTCCTAGACCACCAGAAAGTTTCTACCGTGGAGATTTATACTGGTACACACAGGACACGTATGTATACATATTCTTCACATTCTTCTTCATGTACACACACACACACACACATACATGAAACTTTTTTTTTTTGTTTGGTTTTGCAAGGGCTTTTTCCTCTCTGAACCTTCAGTTGCACAAGTTTTGCTTGGTTTAATGGGGTCTTTTATGGGGCTGCAATCTTCCGCATTTGTTCAGGAGGATTTGTACTGCTCAGCATTTCTGGGACTGTGCGCAGAGCAGCCTTTGTGCAAAGCCGAGCTCCAGCCTCAGAGAGGGAGAACGAGCCCATCACAGATGGGCAGCAAGTCAGGCCTCCGCAGCTCTGCTGCATGGTCCCGATTGGGTCTCTTTTAAAATCCACTTACATAACCACCCTAACTGTATTTTGACCACATGGATTTTTAAAGCACTGGATTGGGAATATTTTAAAGTGGGTTTATTTTGAGACTTGAAGTCTTCCTAGGACTTAATGGATATAATAAATAACCTTTTTAAAACTTTGGCCATGGAAATTATTTTTTTCATGAGCATATCAGAGAGCAAAAACAACAACAACAACAACAACAACAACAACAACAACAACAACAAACCGGAAAAAAGTTACCGAATTTAATTTAAAGTCTTGGAGTACTTAGTAATAATTTCATTTATGTTTTTTGAAAAATCAAATTTTAAATAAAAATCTCATATTTAAAGAACATGTTACTTGAAGATAACTAGGTAGCTATTCATTACTTATCTGTTTTCACATTTACTTTTTTAAGATTGATGTTTACAACACACATTTCCTTCACTTTTCTCTACATCATTCCGTGTCTCCATGTCCTCTTCTGTCCTTTTCACCTACCCTGACTCAACCCCTAGTCACTGTTAAGAGAGTAGCTGAGAACTGCAAAATTCTTTTTGGTCATAAAAAGGTCAAATCACTTTTTATCAAAATCCTAATATCAGGGCCGGGGATTTAGCTCAGTGGTTTTGCCACCTGCCTTGCAAGCACAAGGTCCTGAGTTTGATCCCTGGTACAAAAAAACCCCTCAAAAAACAAACAAAAAACCCCCCTATTTTCTATGCTCTTCACTAGTTTATAAATTAATCTCCCTTTTAAAAAAATTATAATTAACCATGACACCAAATGTTCTGTATTACAGAGGAGAAAGGATCATACACATGCAGACACATTAAAAAGATACTTGCACTAGATAGCAATATTAAAGGAATTTCCTGAGAGCAATTTCTTTCATTAATTTCAGGAATGATCTGCCAATTTGTTTTTCTTAAATGAGGCACTGCAGGAGGGATTTAAGTCTGCAGAAATAAAAAGCCCATAAAAGCAATTTATTGATGTTGGGAGGTTGTGAAGGGGACAGAAAAGAGAATCATGCTCACATTCTTTCTCAAAAGAAAAGAGTACACCTATATTTATAAATTTAGTTGCCTAGCTATTGAAATGCTATTTAACATAAAAGGAGCAACTGAAAAAAAAGCTGTAGCTGTTGAATTTATTATTCCAGATAAAATAAAATGAGGTTCAGTTATTCATTTAATTATTTCTCATAGCACATTCTTGATATTTTTCTTTAGTTACTTTGAAGATTGAGTCTTATTCCTGCCACCACACATAACCATTTAAAGATAAAATATGTGGGAAAATATCACAGTGCAGTATTACATTTTAAGTTTGGTGGGTCTTTAATATTTCAAAATAATAGAGGAAATGGACAGTGTGATTTAGTGAAAAAGCACAACTTTTATATTTGATGAAAAATGCAGTCGTGTTATGTAGAGTTCTGGCCGAACAGATGCTAGCACCAGTCTAGTTGCTGACATCTGTAGATTTAACATTTATGAGTTTGCTACTCTGAATAATCACGAGGGTGCATTAAAAGAAGTGATTTCCAATTTTGCTGAGACATAAACGCACATGAACGTACACATCCCTCTCCAGCTGCACACTGGCACCTGGAGGTGTGTGTGCGTGTGGATCTGCATCCGTGCATGTGCCAGTGAACAGGCAAACGAATGGCACTAGCACAAGGGAGTCAGTCAGCTTAGCTGACCAGGCAGCCTTGGTTTTGCCTCCTAAGGGATGGGTGCACAGTGTGTTTTTGAGATTATATTTATTGCCATTTTGTGGGAAAAATAATGGAAGACTGGAAGCAGAATCTGGCACTTTGCAAGGGTCTCGGAGCAAACAAATATCTATTTTGTTTAGTAATTGGCACACAGTTCGTAGATAAATTAAAAGTGTTAAAAATCAATCTGCCCTGTGGTATTTCCAGTGAACTTATTATTATTATTTTTTCAGCATGCCTTTAGGAAAAAAAAAATTTCCAATGGCAAATATATGCTGAACTAAGATCTAAATAATTAGGATTTTGTGGGGTTCAATCTGAAGGAGGAAATGCAAGGCCCAAGTGATTTTTACACCAGCATTTCATTATAATAATGATGAAGCAGCAATATAAGTACTAGAATTATTTTGGTAATTTCAGCCACTGTCTTGGAGGATTTATGTGGATTTACAGATTGAAGGCTTTTTTCATAATTAGAAAGGTAAGCGAATCTTTCTTGAGGGATAGGTAGCCAATAATAAATGCAACAAAATCGATAGGAATTACAGGCATGAGTTGCCCTGAGGTACAGCACAAATCTTGCTTGGCTTTCAGCAGGAGATAAAAAATGGCATTAAGCAGGTAATCCTTGGCACAAGAATGAATAAATGCATAGCAAATCATGGTTCTGTCTGATCCTGAGCCATCTGCAGAGGCCCAGTAGAAAAGAACATTCGAAATTTGAAAAGTTTAGGTACAAATATTGCTATGTGAGTTCCTCTAAGTCAAAGCTGGTGGGATCAATATCAGCTATTAGCAATGAATGTAAATGATAGCAAGGCCACTTTCTCCACTCTGTGAAACAATTATTTCATCCATACACTTCCACGACTTCCGTTTCTTCCCTCCTGAAGTGCTAATTCATTTATTTCAGCATCTGACTCTATAGGCCAATAAACAACAGATTCTATGGAATAATACTATGACAATGGCAGTTAATCCAAAAGAATAGAAAAATGACAAATTTCTCCAGTGTCGCAGAGGCCACACTATTTATACTGGCAGCCAGCCACGTGTAGACAGCGAGTTAGAGAAGGCCAGTGACTTCTTCCCCAGCCCTGCTAGAGTCTGGGGCTACAGCAGTCTGGAGATTAACATGCGACTTTGTAGGGTCTGTAACATGAGGCCTCGCACCTGCACCAAGCGTAATTCTTAGCGATAACAAAAGCACGGGAAACACAAGGGGATCTGAAAAGCACAAGGTGATCACGGTGTCACTAAGCTCAGTTGGTGAACAGCACTGCACCTGTGGTACCCAGGGCACGACTAGGGTCCTGCGCTGTTGGATTCGTTAAAGCGTTCTATGTTATGTACGCTGTTTTTCCAGCCCCATACGTACTTCTTTGGATTGTTCTGAAGATGAGGTGGGACTGCAGTGTACAGGAAGGAGGCTTTACCGACGGTTACGAGTTATGTTCTTTGAAGACGTCAGGGCTTATAAACATTGGAGAAGGCGTCGTTACAGCGCAGAAAGAGCATGGATTTGGGTGCCAAGGAGAGACACATTTACATTCCAGGCACAGCAAAATCATAAAAATAGAAGGGACATCTGCTGCGTGACACGTGAGCCTCTGTTTCCTCAACATGGAGGTAAAGATACCTTTCGAGGATTTTTATGAGTTGCAAGGCAAAAGCACATGTAAAGCACTTCATGGCACCAGGTACACACCTCGTCTTCATTTTCCTCCCAAGAAAAGTATTTATTCATTCTACCATTAGTCCGAATAATAAAAATGGTAGTTGGAACTGCCCCCCACCTTTTTTGTACAATGCTGTTGTTCTCTCTGATAACATAAAGTTTCAAGACAATAGCTCAGCTCAATTACAGTAGAACACATCCGAGGAAGCACATGGAACCATTAATAACATCATAGAAAGTTGCTTTAAATGCTTTTTGGAAAGGCAGGAAACAAATGATAAATGAACACATAAATGAGTGGATGAAGAAAAATAAAAATGTTGACAATTTTATAACTGAACAGCTGATTTATATACCAAATGTTCTAGTTCATAAGTACTATGAAAATTTACAGAAAATTAGCATAAATGTTAGTAAATGTTTCAAAATATTAAAGGAAGTTAATTCATGAAACTACTTTTCTTGTATTTGTTGGCATTTATTTTATTGTCTTGAAGTGTTCCATGAAATCATCGTAGAAAATGAAGCCCTTATTTACATTTTAGCCTATAAAAATGTATAATGACCTGACATGTAGTAAACAGGAAACATTTTGAAATATTTAAATACACAGCAAACCCAGGGATGCCTCCCCCTTTGTTGTTCACTATGTAAGTACTAATCTCATTCAGAAATAGTGATATCTTCAAATGAGCTTAGTACATATTTGTTCAAAGATGGGTCTCTAGAGAAAATTCAGAAGATGATCTGCCTTCCTCCTAGACGTAAGGCAAGACTGGGAAAACACAGAGGATGAGGACAGGGTCTAACTTCAGCCCTGCCTGTTCCCTGATAAAAAGCACAACCCACACAAAAGCTGAAGGTGAAAGCTTCCATTTGGATTCCTTAGGAAACTTTATGCTTTCTTTCTTGGACACCTCAGAGTAATTTATTATTATTATTTTTTCTCATTGAGTTTATTGGTACTTTTTTTGGCGGGGGGGTTGAGACAGGGTCTCACTGTGCAGTTCAGACTACTCTGGAATTCACTGTGTAGCCCAGGCTGGTCTCGAACTCGCAGTGATCTTCCTGCCTCAGCCTCCCGAGTGCTGGGATTACAGGCATGTGCCACTACGCCCAGGTTTATTGATACTTTTTAAGTATACAGTTACATTCATCATCGGGACCTTGTACCTTTATATGATAGGTCTCGGTTCTCATTTTTTTCCCCATACCCCTGCCCTCCCTTCACCCCCTTCTCCCTTTCCTATGTACAAAAACTTTTTTCCATTTTTTTTTGTTTTCTCATATTTTTCTGTTTCCTTATTTCCTTTCCCCTACCCTCCCCACTTCTCCTACACCTTTAGCCCTTTTCTTCCTATTTCACAAAGTCAGTTATACCATTTGGATCTTATTTACACTTTTAGTTTTTCACACCCTCAGAGTAATTTATAACACCTAATTGGAAATAGCCAGCATCATCATTACAGAATTTTATGAATAACAGACACAGGTCCAAAATATCCCTGAGAGAATGAACAGTTCTGTCAATTTTATTTACTAGAAATATATTTATAAATTTATAAGTTTAGTGCAATTCTCATAGGTCATGAGCAGCAATGGGCTGCGAAGAAGTCTGAAGTGACTGAGACATTCATTTTTGTTATCTCGAATAGCAAGACACGTGTGTCATAGGTGTCTCTGCACTTCTAAATCGAAGGACAATCGTTTCTATCTCTGTCCTCTCCTGGCAGGAAGAGTTCAGGGAAGACTGCACTTTCCTCACGTATGGGACCATACAGGGCAACAGTGCCAAGAACAGAGGACTGGGAGACTGCATTTTAAGAAGGGTTGACTGGAAAGAATGGCAGAAAAACAAGTTTTCAAATCAAACCTCTGCAAAAGGGACGTATTTGGGCACAAAGTGGAAAGATGGAGACTTAGAATGGACCCCAAGGAGAAGCAGAGCCTGCAAGCATTCAAGAAACTGATAAGGGGCCCGGTGCTTTGTACGGCTGTGGGCTGGTGATGGGCTGGGACGGTAACTGGGGGAATAGAGTACGGGCCTCCTGTGTCTTCCGCATCCCTTCCTTTCCCGCCCCTTCCTCACCTCTTCTCCTCTTCTTCGTGTAGGGAACAGTGCGTTGATAATTTATTAAGTCTCTCAATCCTTGCACGGTTCTTTGTTTGCAACGTAATGTGATTTCCAAAGGGAATTCCTATAGGTCGGCTCCGTGCCAGAGAGAATGACCAAAACGCCTGCAGTGATGACGCTGCATTACTTTTGCTACAGGACATTTCAGAGCTACAGTAACAGGTGATGAATTTGCTCTCTAGGGCACTCAGACCCATCAGAAAATTAATACAGAGCACAGATGTACCTAATCCACAACGACTGAAACGTCGAGTGGCACCATTTCAGTATCTTTCAGGTGCTGCACACATTGATACCATGCTGTAGATCAATGAGTCAACAGGGTCAAAGGCCAGGCAAAACGAGGGTGTCTGCACTGGATATAATTTCTAGGGAGTCAGTCAGTATCGGCTTCCACCCCAGGACCTCGTCAAGCTGCTCAATGAGTTTGGAAATTTCACTATTTTAGTATAAAGGTTTGATTTCTAATTAGCACATGTTCCCTCGGATCGGTGTTTATTGAACTTGGCCCAGCTCACCGATTCCTTAGTGCAGGAAAGAGGATGGGAGCAGTGGGTGTCTGAGAGGACAAAGAACAGGCTGTGTTGTCACTGGGCTCAGGGAAAAACAGCCACGCTGGGGTTGTTGAGGAACCGCCTGGGCCCGGGTTCCCCAGTTCCGAGGTCAGGGATGCGCGACTGGTGCCTTAGAATTGGCCACAGTGGGATTCCTAGTATTCCTGACATAGCGAATATGACAAGTCACAACTCATTTTTTTTCAGTGGAGAGAAAGTTATCAGCACAGCTGCGGCTGTGCCACAGGAGACTCGAGGCAGGTGAAACAACATTCAGAAGTTCTCAGTTTAGTTAGGGTTTGACTCGCTTTTGTATTTTAAGAGATACTGGATGCTGAGAAAGATGCGGATGCAAGTGTCGCTTCACGTTTTTTTTAAATTGCTCACAGTAGGAAGTGGACTGTCTAGAGTTAGGGGAATGCTATTAAAGACTCATGTGAAAATAAAACATGAATTTGAGATATCATGACCCTCATTTGGCTGGGCTAGGAATTTGTTACATATTTTCATTAATAGTACAAAAAAAAAGACATGTTTGGAGAACACTGATATCATCCTATTGCTCACTGCATTACTTTTTTCATAAAAACTTACTAGCTGACTATTTTAATATATACCCATAACGACACACTGTATGAAAAGGATCCACAGTCTCCACCAAAATGTAAGTTTAAAAAGGACAGTCGATTTAAACAGGTAAAATGGGTTACCTCAATTTTTCCCTGTAAGACAAGAGAAATGTTTCTCTGACAATGAAAATGTTTCCTCTTATGGAAAATTCCCTTTCAAAAGCACCCACATTTTCATTGTAAGAAGTGTGAACTTGTTACCTGCCCATTAACCCATGAAAAGTCACAACTACTGGCTAAGTCACAAACTCTCTCATCCTTCACTTCTGTGTTATATTTCCCACAAAAAAATGGACGGAAAAAGCACTTGGAAATGCCAACAATATTTAACTTCCAATGTATAGGAGTCTGTGGCTTTTCAAAAGGAGTGGATTGAAATCTGGTAATAATTTACAGCTCTGATTTCAGAAGGCATCACTAAAAGAAGACAGGGCTATCTGAAAAAAAAAAACAAACCAACAAATAAACAAAATGAAACCCAACCAACCAAAAAAAAACCGACCTCTTAAATACAAAAAAATAGAAAATGAAGAATGGAAAAAATGAATAATAAGGAAAATGAGCCTTCACTAAAGCAACACAAAAAGCCATGTACCTGTTCAATCCAAAAAGCATGGACCTGATCATCAGTCTAGCTACAAATATACATTTAGCAGCTAAGAATTTAGGCTCTACAGTGTTTTCCCTTGTGCGTTTTGGACTCATATGAGAGCCTGCAGTAAACAAGGTCGTATGTACAGCCTAAATACATTCAGGGAACAAACAACATTAATCGTCTTTGGTATGCTGACACATGTAGGGCAGTCCATACTTACTTTCTGAAGAGGTAGTTCTTGATGGTCAAATTTAGACTTAGTCTGCAAGTTTAAAGTCATGCTTCTGCCTGCATGCATTGCTGAAATACCTCCATAGGGCAGCATGCCAAGGTTAACTGTGTTGTGTTTGTAAGCAGCATTCTGAGTAGAGGAGATAATCATGTGACAGGATGTGAACACATGCTCCACAAACTGATTATTACATGAACAGGTCTAAATTTATAACATTTAACTTTAAACGGGCAAACAGTAACTTTCATTTTCACACATGCACTCGGTTAGACGAAAGCATACGGTAAACAGTGTTAGTTTTCCACATAATGAGTTACCATCCAGAACTACAGAAAAGACAAAAAGCAAAGAGGGTACATTCTGTTGGTGCTTGCTGATAACTCAAAGGCTCAGCACCTGTCAAATGTCATGGTATTAGGGCCCTCAGACAAGTATTGTCATCTATGCAGTCTGTTAATTTTGAAAGCAAACTCAAATAAGAGCTTGATCAAATCTTACCAGCTCCAAAATTTCACGGTCTTTTTCTCATTGTGAGACCATCACATATGAAAGACAAATATTAACTTCTAATTCTGCCTTGCACTCATACACTGCAGTGTTAAAACCAAAATCACTTTTTATCGCTGTCTAGAGGAGTAATTACAGCAACTCAGAAAAACAACCTGCCCCCCGCCCCCCCAAATCATCCAGTCTGGGCTTTGGTTTGACTGAAGGCACTTCAGGAATGCTAGCTGAATAAGCTAGATGTGGATTCAACTATTCTATTTTTTAAAATTACGCTTTAGAGTAGAAAAGTTTCATAATAAGACTAAAGTAATCATATTTTGTGACTTATTGTCACTTACCTAACACTCCTAAGTATTTATAGAATAATGTGGCGATCTTTATATCACAGCTACTCTTCCACAGGTGTATTTAAAATTATACTAAGAGGTTGACAAATTTTCCCGCAGGACCTCACTGAAAAAATTAAAATGTCCTGTTATCAAATCTTCAACCTCCAGTGGAAATGTAGTCATTAATAGTGTTTGGCATTTTTAAGTAATTCTTATTTTGGAGAAAAATATCCACAGATGTTAACTTAGTATATCTTTTCTTAACTGAATATTATGGAGCATTGACAGCGGCAGCTCTTTTATTTTGAGAACATTATCTAGGAGGTAATGATTTTTAGTACCAAAGTTTCACTGAGCTACACTGAAAGACTATGATACTCCTGATGATGTGCTTGTCTATGAATCACGTGTTATGGATTCCTGACTACTTCACACAGAAATATCTTATTGTCACCATGCCAAAAGGGAAGAAGACCCTCAGCATCTCATCTGACACCTGGATGGCTCTTTGGGGTTCTCCAGTCTAGCACCCTTTCAGCTCCTATAGAAGAGTAGCAGCCTCAGACACGTGGGTTCATGTTTTAATTTCTCAGTCACAGTGGGGCATAAGCATTGTGATTAATGTTTATCTGGGGTAGTACTCGTGGCTGCCTCTTCAAGCTCAGCACTGAGATCATCTGCCAGCCTTACACGAGCCTGTTAACCTTATCCAATGAGCAGATCTCTAGGTGGCTGTCTTCCGCGGGGAATCACACAGGTTCTGCAGTTGCTAGTGTAGCTATCTGCTTCCAGGGTTCAAATGGTTCGACTAAGTGTCAGTGGGAAAGAGACCCTCCATGTCTTTGGGGTGGCCTGACTTCAACAGGGCAAGTTAAATAGCACAAGTATGTCAGAACCAGTCTGACATATTAAGTCTGGGCTTTAGGAGCCCGCATTTATCTTTTCGAATCGAATTGCTGAGAAGTTTGAAGTCAGTGATGGCCTGAATTGTTCAGCGTCTCAATTAAAAGAGTGAAAAAATATTACTTGGAAAAAACAGAAGGAAGAGCTTTCAGGATCTGATGGCTTAAAACAATATTCTATGGTCATTTCATTTTTTGGAATTAAATGGGAAACTATATTGGGAGCTGCGGGGGCGGCTTCAGTGGTAGAGCATTTATTTGCCTCACCTGCATGAGGTCTGGGTTTGGTCTCTATCGCCACAAAACAAAAATGAAAGGTGGAAAAAGTGAATATATACTGAAATTGCTCCAAAAATTAATGAGAGGCCAAGGGAATTATAAGCAAATTCTAAGGCTATACGGAGGCTAACCGAAAAGAGAAATATCATCACAGGAGTGGAAATACACACAGATTCACATTTAGTCATCTGAGACAGGCAGGGTTCTCCTGACTCTGGCTGATACCTTCTCCGCCATTCTTACAACCCCTCCCCCCAATTCCTGTTTTGTCAAAGTTGGGCCAAAGGAGAGGAAACGTTCGTCTAGGATAACAGTAAGTAAATGATGGTGCTAAATAACTTGGAACTTTAGCTTCATTGTCAAGCTCTGTTTCCACTTGCTTCTCCGTTGTCTCCAGTCACTAGTCATCATACAGAATCTTCTCACAACCTTTCTTGACTAGTTAATCTTACCCTGTTACGTATGGTCGTGTCTACACGAGGCCAGAGTTTCCAAACTGTACTGTATTATTTGGCCCCAAATATTTTCGCCCTCCAAGTTATCTGTCTACATGGAGGGTACAACTTGAGGTAAGGCAAGGTGACAACCGAGCAGGTGTTCCCCACTGACAGCCAGTCATGAGGCTTTGACGAAGGTCCCTTCAATGGGACTGAGCATACGTATTTGAAACAGACATTCTGATGAAATATTCTGCAAGGCAGAACCAATTTCCACACTGAGCAACTGACATCCACGCTCACACTTATTAGCTCACGCTTTCCCTAAAGAATTGTTTTCTTGTCATGTAGACACGACCTACAGATAATATAATTGCTTGAGTAGAGCAAACCTGAAAACACAAAATTCCACATTAAAGAAATACACAATAAATGTAGTGGCCTGAGCTTTTGGCAGGACACTGACTAAAATGATAAAGCTATTCACTGAAACGTTCTATAGCATATTATTCCCCAGATCCCCAACTTACACAGAGCATTCAAACCTAGAAAATACAAACAAAAGGCCTCAATTTCACAGAAAGGATCTTAAAGATTCCATGCAGAGTACACAAAGCCCTCTACACCAGAGCTACACAGTATTCTGAGTTCTGATGGCAAATTGATAACTGTTCTAGCAAATGAACCACCAGACTTCTCTCTGAGAGATCTGAGCAGGCGACAAACAACTCATTCTATGCTTTACACTTTTAAAAGACTCTCCCAATCACTGTGCATTCCACACTTTTGATGACTCAATTTTTAACTGAATTAGGATAAATTTCCTTTTCTTTTCTACAATATACATGCTAATTTGTACATCTGTAGTCTTCATAAAGATGCCATCTATTTTTTTGTCTGTGGAATGATTAGAATTTAAACATTTTCTTCTATATAAAAGCCCATATTCTAAATAGCAGGAATTTTATTAAATCAAATAGTGTGTAGGAGGGCATTTAATCTCTGCTTATTTTATTTTTTTGTTTCTTGCTGGGAAGATTATTGCTCATTAGAAGTAATAACTTTAGTAGTCCCATAGCAGTAAGTAGGTGCAAATTTTATAAACAAATCATGCCAGGGTTTAATATAAGCAAGTCTGTGCAGAAAAGGGTGAATGACTTGCTTCGTATAGATTCAATAAAAATCATACTCCTGTGGTCACGGGAGAACACTTTCCTGTCCCGGGAGAGACATTTGGTTTGCCTTACTGGCTAGAAAGCAATTTTAGCACCAACCCATATAGTAGAGTCCAATTTTTACTAACAAAACTTAGGCTCGATTTGATAAATAATTCGCTTGCGGGTCAGGGATTCTCAGAAAAGCATTAAGCAACACCCAGGAAAAAAAACTATCAGGACCCATTTCCCCCCCAGTGTCAAGGTAAAACGAAATGCTGACCACGTATTCACACATGCTGCACCACACGTGCTCAGAAATGCCCCAAAAGCAGAACTCAAGGCAGGAGGGTATTCTTACAGAGAAAGGCCAAACATACCCTGTCTAACCTTCTAGCTTCTATATGTCTAAGCAGCTGTTGTCTCCAGTCTGCCGGCATTTTACCACAGCTCTCCTCTCCCTTCACAGGAGTAGGCCTCGTCTTTACATCACTGTTATCTGACGGCTTGTCACCATAGTTACCCAAGTTATAGTCAGACGGCATTTTTTCCAAAAGAGCTGCCATAGTCGGCCTAGCTGAAACTGGCCTGGTTTGGGAGGCCCCGTAACTCTCTGTACTGTAGCTTCTCGCAGACAATGGCCTCCTCTGGGTAAGGTTTTTAACGGGAAAACTTCCCGCCTGAGCTTTCACTTCTTGATATGAAGGGTGTTCGTCTTCATACCTGCCATTCCTCTTGAGGAACTGGGCCTCAGTCACTGACACGCTGCTCTGGCGATCCAGCCCGCCCCTGTACGCGGGCCTGCCGTACCTATCGCCGGGGGGCAGCTCGTGGGGCTCACTGACCCTGCGGAACATGGCCATCTCGGTGGAGCTGGCCAGGGAGTCGGCCCTCCTCAGGAAGCCCGCCCTGCTGCCCTGGCTGGCGAACTGGGCATTCACCACGGCGTCCTCGTTCACAGACGGCTGGGAGAAGGAAAACATCTGCTCCATGGCTGGGTAGCCGCCCCGGTAAGCCCTGGGGCTGACCAGATCCTTGGCCAGGTTTTTGCTGGGCTGCGGCACGTACTCGGAATTGTGCTGGAAAGGGGCCGGGATCCTCTTGTCGGCTTTCACTTCCACAGCTCCTTGAGGATTGAAGCTTTGGTCAAACCGGTAGACCTTCTTGGTCATTGAAGCTTTCTGCTGCTGGGCCGCTTTGCTGCTTCCGGAAGTGAGCATCTCGTCGTCCAGCATGGGCACGGACTGGCTGCGAGACATGCTGGGCAGGCCGTGCTCCGGGCCCAGCATCTTGTCCGGCCGTTCGTGGCTTCCTAAGTGGTCACTCCCCGGGGCGTAGTTTTCCAACGGTATGTTATAAACCTTGTAGGTACCAATGTCAATCTCATCGATACTCTGCGACTTTTTGAATTTATTGGACTTTATATCCTTCATAAGTGGGGAAAGCCTCTCTGTGCTTTTGCTAATGGAAAGAACACCTTTAGAAGAATCCGGGTGGCAGTGGATTTGAGAAAAGACATTACCAAGACTCCTGTTGGAATTGGAATCATGATACTCCCAGGGCACTCCTGGAGAAAAAGGGCTAGGTATTTCTGTAGATTCTTTAAGAATGTGTTCTTTCCTTTCGGGCAAGGGGCTGGTCGTGGGGGTCGTCTCTAATTTGGAGGGAAAAGCGGTCCTGTCTTCAAACGGACTAGGGGTTCTGGTCCAATTCTGCCAAGGATTGGGAGGAGGCACTTCTGTTTCTGGCGTGTGTCTGTGCGTGGACTGCTCCAGCTCCAGGGGGACACCGACGATCCTCTCCTGCCTGATCAGAGGCCTGCGTCCATGAGGAGCCACATTCCTTGCCTTGGCGCTCAGCAGAGGGTTACTGCTGGCATTCTCGGCCGTGGGCTCCTCGGCCACAAACCCCGTGTTGTCGTAGTGGGAGCCATCTGTCCAGCTGTCAGGGAAAGCGTCACTCATGGGCAGCCGGTCAGGTCGCTGTGGCAGATTCCCGGTGGGAACAGCCTCCCGCTGGCTGAGTAAGGGCTTTGCGTCCAGAGGCTGTGGGAATGATGGTGCGATCCTGTGAATGCAATGGGGGAAGAAACAGGACATGAAGATGAGTCGGTCCAGAGCCAGAAAGTGAACAAGCTGCAAGGAAGGGCACCGTCCTTTGGAGACTAAGCATTCATCCTCACCTGAATGACGATTAAGGTAATATGATATATCATCATTTCATGTCCCCTACTGTGATAAATTCTGCTCCAACTTTTCTTTCTTCCTAGTAACATCCTCTCCTAGCACTGTCTAAAATTTACTTACCTCTGATAGTTTATTAGATTGGCCATCTGTGTCCTCTGCTAGAAAGTAAACTCTTAAGGACAGAAAGCATTTTCTCTCCAGGATCAGAACAGTCACGCACACGGTAGGAACAAACTCGTATTCGTGGAAGGCATGAATGAATGAAATGTGTAAGTCATCAGCGATAGTCAGCCTGACTGATAATTAGAATCGTTGGATTCCTAGTACTCACCCATGGAGATTCTGACTCCACACTTTTCTAAACTAATGACTGAATGTGCTTTCTTAACAAGTCCTGGTACATCTAGAGAGTCCAAATCTCCTTTAATAAGGCTATGTCTTGAAGACACTCAGTACCATTAAATAGAGAGCAACTCTGAGGCCTTTCTCTAGCATGTAAGTCATATCATGACTTCAGGTTATAGGCCTGTTTATACCCGTGGCCCTCTCTAGCATATTCTAGTATATGCTTATTTTTTGCGTTTTTTTCTACACTACCTGCACACTAATAATATGCAATGATACACCTTTTATTAGTAAGATGAAGGCTTTTATATCCTTCTGCTAATTGGAAAAATTATTTAGAAGGCATCTCATCTTCCAAAAATACCTATGTCAATCTCAGCTCATCTAACAATTATGATTTTACAACCTTTAGGATTTTTATCATGGGTACTGACAGACAGAAATAAGTAGTCGTGAAGTACTAAAGAAAGTATCACCAGGATACTGTCAGTTAACGTGGGGGTAAAAGTTATTGACTATCTACTTCATAGGACAATTTTTATTTACTATTTATAGAGTACAATGTTGCAACAAATTACAAAACAAATTAGAAGAGGGCAAAGACTGCCCTCCTGAGTTATTGCACTGTGCTATGTAACATCTGTCTTTTCATCCATAAAATGGGGTAACACAGAGAAAGTATTTTGGAAGATTAAGGACCTTGGCATAGATCTTAACTCTGGGTAGTGATAAAATGATGATGATGAAAACGGTAATGAGAATTGTTTGCATATTTACTTTTGGCCAGGCACATATGTGCTTATATGCAGCTCATTTTAATCGGTAACACCATTTTGGATGGTGGAACGGACATGTGCTCATGAACCTGTGTTGGTCACACAGACTCTTTGACTTCTAGGCTTTCTGGTCCCGAGCGCCCCATCACCTGTTAATCTACCATCTCTCCCTTACCCAATGGCTGCCCCCCAATAAACCTAGGTTCTTTTGCTCTTGGAAATCCCAGGTGCACTACATTTGCTTACCTGCCCCTTCCGTCTTCGATGCCACTCATGGTCTGAATACAATTCCATTCTCTAGAGGATCCCATTTTTTAAAAAAAGTTGTTGAAAATAAGCATTTGGGAACAGAACAGAATAGTGGGAATTCTACACACACCTGTTACCCCACAAAGAATTATGAACTGCGTCTTTAGCTGTTGTCTGCAAGGACCCCACTTTAACCCGGGTGTTAGAGGATCCTGAGGACGCCTGGGAGGGTGAGTAGTCTGAGTAGGTGCCTGAGGAAACACTGTTATTCAGACAGTGAGTTTTGTCAACTTCAGACTCATCAGTTGATTCTGAAATTTAAAGGGGAAACATGTTATGATGCAACGGCCAAGGACAAGTGCAAACACAGAAAAGTCAAGTACGAAAAACAGATTCCACACCGACTGATGTTCACGATGCGTGTTTGTAAAATGTGTTTACAGACTATGGCACGCCATCATCTACAACTGGCGGTTCGTCATGCACATGCATTGGCAGTGGGCTTTGCGCGTCAGTGTCATGAGGTTACCTTTTTTGTCCTTCCCTAGCAGAACGAGTTTGGGTGGGTACAGAGGGGTCTCAGCTAATGAAGGGTGAAGTTCCCCAATCCTCATTTCATTAGCTGGATGAACAAAAGAATCCTGAGAGATATAATAATACAGGACAAGGAAAGTAAACATTTAAACAATGGTTAACCAAGATGGCAATATCTTTATCTGGCTCAGATTCAAAGACGTGGCTCTAGGATTTAATGCAAAGCGGGGCACTGGGAAAAATGAACCATAGGTATCTCTGAGTTGAGCCCCGATTTCTCTTTCCACTTTAAGTGAGTCTATTTATTCATCACACATATTTTCCAATGCTCTTTCTGTATGCCTGGCACTGTGTGAAGAACTGTGGAGTTTCCAGAGAAAGACAAAATGCAGCCCTCTGGGCACTAACAGTCCAGCTGGGGAGACAGGCAGAACTCACTTTGGAACAGGACTGCACTGGGACGGGCCCTTCAGGAGTAGTACGGTTCATACACGTGCACAGCATGGGTGCGTACGGGAGTTCTAAGGGGCCAGTGGTCTGGGAGACCAGGGGAAGTGTATCACAGACCACCTGAATTTTTTCACCCCTTGCCACACTAACACTCTGTGGGGTCCAGTATGTCCTGCTCTGTCGGTCTCCCTCTTCTTACTGTTCAACACGATCGTCTCCTGCACTGCTTTAGTTCTACCATGCTATCTCCCTGGCGTTTCCAGTTTTCTCACGAGCAATCTACACTGTCAAATATTCATCCTAGTATCCACTCCTTGAGTGTAATGACCCACAATGGCATAAGACTATTGCTTTATCATGACATATGAATAGATAAAACACTCACAGATTTGAAATGTCTATAATTCAAATCCTGATTCCAGTTAACCGGGAAGTGGGGCAGCATTAGAGAAGGCAAAATAGCAAGTGTCACTTTTCTTCTAGATATAAAAATGCCTCGTGCATGCCTATAAGTAGTGATAGAAATTTATACATGGTAGCTATCGTTTTATGTTTTTCTTAAATCTTGTATCAATTGAAGTTCAAAATTTTTTCATTTGTTAGCATCTTATTAGTTTGAAACATTAAACTGACACATGTAGAAGTATTTTGTTAAATCAAGAAAGAAAATACCTGAGGACAAACATTAGACATTCAAAAAGACCCGCTGAATATTTAATCAGTTGGTGTAATCAACAGACAGAAACCCTTTTTATAAATTTTATATGTTGCCAAGGACCCCTGTGGGGATGGGCTCAGGTCTTTGGGTATTGCAAAGAAACATCTTCTTGTTTTCCCTTCCTCTTCCTCCCTCTCCCTGTCTCTTTCTCCTCCTTCCCTCCCTTTCTTTCTTTTCCTTCCTTTTTTTTCATGTTTGTATAGAAATATTTTCCTGTAAAAAACTATTAGATATTAGTATATCTAAAACTCATTCATTTTTCTGATAGAAGAAGACTGCAAGATCATTAGGCTCCCTCTGTCACTGTGTAGAGGAAGATACCGAGGCCCAGCCCAGGTAGACAAGTACACACCACGCAGCACCGGAACACATTTCTCCTGGCTTCTAACTCGGAGCTCTTCCCCTGTCAGGTAAGGGATTCGTAAATGAAGAATCAGACTTGAAGAGAGACAGGGAACAGTGCGGGATGGATGAAAATTCTGGGGCTCAAAAGAGAAATTTGTATCTTCATGCATTTTGAAAATAAGTTCAAAGTTTAGCATAAGAAACTTGTGGTAAAGTGTTAAAGTGACACAATACAGAAGAAAAGCCTTTGTACATCCTCAGAGAAATTATAAGGAGATGCAAGTTTAAGAAGCAGCCCCGTAAAAGGCACAAACTATGCTGATTTGTCAATTTCAATAACAAGGTGTCACATTATTTCGTATTCCTGCTTTATTCCTTATCAGTCAGGTTTTCTTGGGCAAGTTCGTGTACTTCTATAGATCTTATTCAATTCACTAGTAAGATCAAGGTGAGAGAAAACGGAAATCAGTGCTTATTTATATCTGGTACTAATATTTTATGAAACTAATTGTAAATGCTTTGCATGAAATAATAACTTAAAAAATAAATTTTATGGCATCTCTTACAGGAATTTTGTTTTAATAAAGGAACAACACCAAAACACCCCAAACTAGAGATACAATGAAATAAAGCCAACAGTTGTCTGAACACAAAATCACATCACTAACCACTTCAGTGTCTCCTCCTTACATCCTACACTTGGTTCTCAAGTGATCATTTGTATCGATGGAACTTTTACCTACAGCTTTGGCCAGAGCTCTGACAGTGGCTGTGGTCTAACTCAGGTGTAAGTTTCTGACCTTGCTCAAGAACTTCTGTTGTGAATCAAAAAGAGCCCTGGTGGCCAGGAAAAGAATATGGCTATCAGGTAATCCTGGACTTGCATCTTTTCTCCAGATCCTGTCATTCTCCACATAGAAGAGTGGCTCTGCCAAGCAAGGATGCCAGGTTTGCACTGATCCAGGCGAAGGCTTTCTTTCATCTTTCTGCAAAGCGGTGGAGGAGGTGGTGGTGGATCCGTTATGGAGCACAGACTGCACGTCTGCAGCTGCTCTCCTGGGCTAAACACCATCAATGCTATCTCTGTGAATTATTTCAGAGATAACCTTTTCACTATGTGCTCTTTTAAAATATTTTAATTACCATTCTTTGTTTGAAGGAAATGGCAGCACAGAGAGGTAAAAGCACTGTTCCAAGTCATAAACTTAAGTGATAGAGCCAGAATTTGAACTCACGTCTGCCTAACTTGACGCTCTCCTCGAAATTACTTGTCCACCGTATTATCTATCCCAAGAAATGTTCATCTCCTAAATGGGCTTCCCCGAACAAAGTTAACTGTCCTGCAAAGGAAATTAATCATGGGCTTTGTCCTAGAAATCCTCTTATGGAGAGTTGAGGATTCTAGTTTTGCTGGAAAAGTAGGTGGACAATTTGGGACTATTTCAGTGGGTGAAAAGAATGCAAGTTACTAGGGGACAATCAGATTTAGTCTCCTAACAAACACACTGAACTGTATTTCCTTCTGGTGCGATAAAAGGATGGAAAGTGGGAAGAAAGGGTAAGATTTCTTTTTTCTTTCTACTGTTGAAATTAAATCTTGGCCACTGCTACCACAGAGAGGGAGCCCATGGTAGAAGTCAAAGGAAAATAAAGAAGCTATTTCTGAATTTTTGAGAGTCTAGGTCTCGTCTGAATAAAGGGAATTTAAGAACACTTTCAAGGGTGGTTGACTGTTTTGTGTTATTGGGAGGATACGGTTCCTCTGCAGAGGGGACTGGGCTCCATCTCCTAGGAGGGGAAAGGTTCTGAATGATTTTGGCTATCGTAGACAGGGTGGACATGTGTCCAGGTGGTGGCCCACGGAGGATTACAGGAGGTGGGGTAAGAAGTAGCAGACCAATCTCTCGAGGAATGATCAGGAATTATCACTGACCCTAGCCTTCTCCAGGGATCATCTGATTTAATCTCCACAAAACTCTGAACCCGTGTTAGTATTATCTTTATTTTTAAAGAATAAGGAACCAAAGCTCCGAAAGGTTTTAATGGCATGACTTGTGAAGGTCACATTGTTGGCAACAAGGTGGGCCCAAGATTTCAATTCATGTCTGTTAGGCTGAAAAAAGACCCTTTCATTTTGTTCTTAAACTGTGTTCCGAGGGCCCATGGGTGCACTGATGAGTCACAGGGACATGGGTTACAGTAAGTGTCCAAAGGAACAGAGCAATGCTTCACATCAGTCAGACACGGTGCGACCTGCTGGCTCTCAGTTCCAACAGTAGCTTGCACGTCGTTTCTGAGGACCACCCTGGTGACCATCTGATGACTACCTGGGGGTTGTAATCAGTGCAAATCAGTGTGAAAAGGAAATGAAGCCTGTGGTACCCCTATGATTCCAGATTTGAGGAGTTATAGGTGCTTTCCAACATGTACGTGGATTGAGTCATATTTTGGTCTTGATTAAGGAAAGAATAAAAATATCTTCTCCCCCTATTTATGTGTATTATGTATTATTTTCCAAATGACTGCTTTGTAGAACATACATGTTTATTAACATGTCTAGCTATTTAAACGGAGGCATTAAATGTTTATTTTGGTCTTGGGTCACTAACAAATGACACCAAGGGCATTCACGTGCTGAGAGAGCATTCACTGCTCAGGTGTGAACCATGGAAAGTAAGGCAGCCAATAAGCAACAGTTGTCAGAAACTGTATTTGATGTCAACAAACTTCTAACTGGGTGTAGAGACAGACATGTCCACCGATGTACACTACTAGACCACATGGATCACTAACTTGGTCAACGATAGCCCACTCAGTCTACAACAGGCACTGGGTGGAACCTTGTACCACCTGTACAGATGGTCCTTAACTGACCGTTGGCAAAATTCAACTGCCATAGGTCAGGGACTATCTCTACAATGACGGACAAGATCAAAACAGTCCCTGCCCTGGTGAAACTACGGTCAAGAGGCAAAATAACCATAAATGGTTTGCTTCTACTTAATATAAACATATGGGTGAGGTGACAGGTCGGGGTGATCAGGAAAGGCATTCCTGTTGAGGTGACTTTCAGCTGAAACTTGAAGGGTGAGAAAGTGCTAGCCATACGGGGAGCATTTGGAAAATCCAAGCACTGTACTATCTCCAGAAGGCATCACAAAGGAAATAGGAGGAAAGGCCTATGTTCTTAGAAAGCTGTTTTTGCTCTCATGGCCTCCTGAGTCTATTCCTCAGGTAGCATAACATATGTTAAAACTCTTGGAACCGACACAGCAAATAAAAAGAGAGCAATAAAGGCTGATTTATCCTTCCTTCTCCCCTTCTTTGGCTGCATTTCTAATCTATTTACTTTAGTTTTTCTTTCTGTTTTTGCTTCTGCTCCTGCCAGCCTCTATGTTTTCTCCTAGTTTTTTGTATTTAGCCACGTGGATAAATATACGAGGCACTGTATAATAAAATAGCCTCTTCCACATTCTTGGTAGTAGGAACGAAATAATGATGACTCTAAATGGTATACTTGTGAAAAACACAGAATAAATGACTGATCTCCATGATAGGTGTGATGATGCTTGATTTGTTGATATTTATTAAATAAAAACATTGAAAAAATGAAGTGTGACCCTTAATTTGTCTGCCTTGGATATGAGGCCAGAGGATGATACAGGAAGTAGCAACAGCTTCTCTTTGCTTTAGCATGGCTAAAAGTCAGGAAAGAAGATCTAGAATCTTGCTTTCAGAGAAAACACTGAAATTGCCGAAACTGCCAGTCCAATTTCTCTTCAAGGGGAAAAGCAGTAGTAGAAAGCTAAGAAAGGGGTTGGCAAACCACAAAATTCAATGTAAAGCTGAAAGGCGAGCTTCTGTTGTACCCTCTTTAATGAGGCTACTCCAGCTAATTAGGAAGCTCAGATTTTCTGGAGGCAAAAGAAAAACACTCCAGTGCCTTTTAAGAGGGCAAGGATCTGATTAGATTTGTGCTGTTTTTAGAAAGATCATCGCAGAGGCAATGAGGAGGTCAGGGGCAAGGAAAGCCAAGAACCTGAGATTTTTATAGGGACGGACACAGTGGAGGACTCGAGATTCCCTCAAGTGAAAATCTAAGGCTTTGGTAATTCTTTGGAAGGGACAAGAATGGTGAGAAAGAAGGAGATGGAAATCAAGACGCTTCTCAAATTTCTAGGATGAAAGAACTGGTAGAGAAAGCTATCAGCTGAGATCAAGACCAAGAATACAGGAGCAGAAAAAAAGTTTGGGAAAGAAACGTAATTGAATCGTGGATTTGTTAAGCTTGAAGTGCTCATGGAACAAATTTAAGATTTATTAGCTCTACTGCAGGGTTATTATTAAATTCATGACCAAAGCCATCTTTTCCAAGTCTTAGCTTAATCCTCAATTAAGCAATTTTAGGAGCATCTTACTTTTGTAACAACTTCTACTTAGCTTAAAGGCTTGCATGGCTGCATAGTTACTTTGATTTCAAACTGTGATTATGTAAGATTTAAAAATAAAGTATATATCCATTTAGTGTTCATTAATAAATATTACTTTCTCTTAAATATTAGTTTCTGTCCTTCGTATGTGTTTGTACTATGTTAAAGATAAAACAATAGTCCATTTTGGAAAAGAGAAAACACAAGGATAATCATTTTATAAGCAAAAAGCATGAGACTAAATACTTAAATTTTCTTCCTTTGATATCCAGCTGTGTTCCCCTCTTCTGGGACAGATATTTCTGCTAACAGACTGGGAATTCTATGCTTAATTTTTGCTCAAAATCTTCCTTTTACCCGGTAGGTTTCCCTGTTTTTCACTGTAAAAGCACCCGACCTTTCGCGTGCATTTCAGGCCTAACAGTGTGTTACATTCTCCATCACAAAACCTATCATGCAATCAAACTAATATATGTTCTCTGATCACTTCGTAGGTGTTCAGATTGTCTGACTATGCTTTAAGTTACTTGGGGCTCTGGACACATTTTCTATTTCTTCCTCTTCTCTCACAGTGTTTAGCACAGTGCTGCATTTGCAGTTGGTGTTTCCTAAATGCAACAAAAGGTTCGAAATGCAGATCTGTAAAAGAGTTTTATCAATCTAGGATTTCAGACAGGTAATATGCACTTGCAGACATTCACACCAATTCGATTTCTGATGAAGGCAAGAAAGATGACAGCTGGATTAGCGGAAGAGGTGATGGGAGAGTAGAGGTGACATAAAGGTATTTGGATTCTTTCCAGACTGCACAGATCAATAAGGATGGCTTTCTAACGCATTCGAAAACCGAGAATTCAGCTTCACAGGACTAAATTCCATAAACCTAAGTTCATCTCCTCTTTTTGTTGTTAACAGTAACGTTTTCTATAAAAGCTGTGACCTAAACATGAACACAATGAAAAAATTTTGCTCTAAATCCGATTAAGATTTTTAGATGATTAAGATTTTAAGAATGAAAAAATCTTTAGTTTTTCCTGTGGATGCAATAAAAGCTTGAGGTTGAGGTGTCCCCGATATAACACAGTCATGGGCTGGGCCTACTTAGTCGAGAAACTACTCATTCTGTGTGTATTGGAACTTTGGGAACTGTGTGGGGATTTCAGGCAATGAGGGTGCCATTTATTTGTGATTTATTAAATGCAACCCTCATAGTTTGAGAGAGTAGAGAGATCATTTATAGTTTAGGGGAAAAAAGCACTTGTCCTGAAAGAGCTATTCAGTTACAAAAACATATCCTTTAGAATTCCAAAAAATCCACACCACACTGGCAATTACCAAAACCTTCAAATACCTCCACTGTAATCTCCTTTGGGGCCACCGGCCACTTGTGTTCAAATTTTTCTTTCACAGTTTGCTCCGTGTTGGCTGTTGGATTGGAATTCTCAACACGCGCTCCGTGGCTCGGCTTACCCACCAGATTTTGAACAGATTTTACCATATTCTTTAAATCCTCTGGGTAAGGAGTTGGATATCGTTTTAGGTTTATTTCAACCTAGAAGTTTATAAAAAGAGATTTAACATAAAAAGAACCTCAGCAAGCATGCCATTCACAAAGCTATGCCGTCTTATGCGCAGCAGAACAACCAAATGCAATACAGCGAGTGTCGAGCTGGGGCGGAGACTGTGACAGAGAACACAATGCGTTCCTCCGGCACGGGCCTCCTGGGAGTTCCTTCTCCCCACCCCTCCTACCCTTCTAGCTCATAAACAGTTTTTGGATTGTATCCTTTCTTGAGATCTACCCTTTCTGTGTCTGAAACAGTAGCAGGTCAAACATTTAAGTGGCTGGTTACCTCTGAAAAATGTAATCAAATTACTAAGTGCAACTGAGGCTCTTCACTCCCTATCATATTATTTGTAAGAAATAATTTTGAGAGTAAGAGTATCATTGGGACTCCAATGCACATAGTGGGAAGAGACCCCACCCCCAAAGACTTACAAGAAGAGTTGGGTATTGAAAAAGTGGGGAGTTTAACATAAGTTCTGCCCAAATATATAATTAGCAGGCTACATCCAAAGGTAAGACAGCCTTTTGATAATACCTAAAAAAAAATGTTTTGGGGTGGATTTTATATTTATTTTTTATCCTAATAAAGAAATGTCTTCTTGAAAAACATTTTCCAATGAAGAAGAATGAAAATTGAGACTATTTATTATCTAATATACTTTAGGCAAATATATGTGTTTTAGTTTATAGTTAGCTAGGTATTTATTTTCATTTTTGAATTTTATCCATCTGACTTCTGGAGCACATATTAATGACTATTTTTAATAGACTCCATAAGAGTATCCTACCATCAGAACTTATTATTATAAGTTTAAAATAGAATAAACAGAAGTCCTCCACGCTGCTCAAAAGGGGCTGGAGAAAGATAAGAGGGGGATTTACTTTGCCTGGCTCATCTCAGTAATCGTACCTTCTGGAATCTGAGTAGAATCAACTTGACAAAATGGGATGAGCTATGTGATCGCGGTGAGAATGTGTCTGTGGAAGGCGTGTTGTGAGGGTGGGAGGAGCGAATGCAGTAAGGAGGAAGAGCGGATGGGAAAGAGAAAGGAAACCGGAAGGAGGGGAGGCGCACGACGACCTGTTCCCGCTCCGGCGAAACTCATGCGATGGAAGGGACTGTGACCTGGGACAGGGCTGAGTGCTACGGACACAAAGCCAACACTTTTGCTCATCTGCAGTCTTAAATCCACCAACTGTGTTCTCCTTAGGGGTTGGGCTTCTTTGTGGCTCTTTTTCTAATCAAATAGTAGGACTGGACTTTACTAGATGATTTCTTTTTCTTTTTCTTTTTTTTGAGACAGAGTCTCACTCTCTAGATCAGGCTGCCCTGGAACTCACTATGTAGCCCAGGCTGGTCTCGAACTCACAGTGATCCTCCTGCCTCAGCCTCCCAAGTACTGGGATTACAGGTGCGCGCCACCACGCCCGGCTTCACTAGATGATTTCTAACACGCCTTTCTATACTGAACATATATAATTACTCGTCCAATACATATTTGGAAAGGCACTTAAAAGACCAATTAATATTGCTAAGCTAGCTAAGTATTTTAAAATGTATTTAAATCTTTTTTACACTCTCAAATAGCTAAGGATAAAACTAATACTAGACAGAAAAAAAGCTATATATAATCCAAGACAATGACAGACTTTATAGAACAGGAAGTGTAAGTTTTTGATTGTAATATTAACACATCCCAGCATACTTAATTTTTAAAGCATTCTTAAACATAAAACCATGATATCCATGCTGGACAAAGTACGTTGGAATGTACCCATGGATCTGCTGTTGAAATTGATATCAGAAATATTAATTATGAGCTAAATCTAATTTTCAAGATATAATGTTGAACTTGCTTAAAAGTACTTGACTTCAAAGGGCTCAAAGTCAAGAAATTACAACTTCTTTTATAAAAAAAGTAAATTGCAGAATGGTATGACTATCATGCCAATTTAGAATACCTTCTTATTTTTAATAAAAATAGTATATGAAATAAAGTAGGGCATTTAATTAAAATTCTACATGACTAAGAAAGCTGCAACACTAAAATTACACTTAGAAATTGAATTAAAGTTAATAGAAACGTGAAATGTTCTTTCTTAATGGAATCAAACACTTCACTGGATAACGTAATCCACTTTGCATAGATTCTACGTCCCATCTGACACAAACAGATGGTTGTTTGCTAATGCTACCATTTCCTGGTTATTTTATAAGCAAGTTAATGTGATATTTTGGCCATATCGTCAGAATGTTTGGGCATTTTTTTTTCCATAGAAATACTTGAATCTAGAAACACAGTTACCTGTTTTAGGACCTATCACCTTTACGTGTGCGTTCCAAAGTGGTGTAAGGGGCTCCATTTATGTATCTGTGGGGTCATTTAAAATCTATCTTTTCCCATAAGAGAAGCCTTTTCCAAAATCATAGAGGCTCCAGGTCTCATAAAACTTCAATTCATTTTATCTAGAAAGTGAGCTCCTTGCTTCTGGTTTACCGTTCTCCTTGCAGAACTCCTGAACTTGGAGTCAGGATGTGTGAACGCGAGCCACAGAGTTACCCCAGCTCGCTGCTGGCTGCTAATCTTGGTGTTAGTCTACTCATGGAAAGTGAGAATATCAATGCCCTTCCCACATGCCTAGGTTAATTTAGAGATAAAAGAGACAAATGTGAAGGTCCTTTGATAATCTGTAAATTCCATGCCGAGATTAGACATTATTTCTAGTACAGATTTTACCTAGGTATTTAAAAAATCGGGACTCCCTCGGTCATCTTGACCCTATCCTAGATATCTAACAATGATACTGTGCCTGGCTAAGTCTTTTTTGTGTATCGGATGCAGCAAGTTATCATTTATTCAGTACCTATCATGGGCCAGGCACTAAGCTAAATGTTTTATACACATATTTAATTTATTATTATGTATACAATATACAGCATTACTTAGAATTGATCCTATAGGTTGAAATATAATTATTATTTACATACTAAATAAGAAAGGATTATTAGTTATTATAGGATAAATCCTTAATTGATAGTTACATCTTATTTAAATTTCATAAATGACTTCTGGAGCTAGTCCCACTTTACAGGAGAATTGGAGCTTGTACAATATAAATACCCATCTAAAGTCAGACCCAAAGTGGGCCTTTTTGACCTTGTGGGCTTTGGTGTCCCCGTGTTATTTGTAGGGTGCAGAACATACTAGCGGAATCTTGTACAGGAAATACTGTACATCCACAATGTGGATTTTCTTAAGTCAAATAACAAGATAATTTCAATTGAAAATACAGCTAAGTAACTATTTTATGTTATTTTTAAAAATTTGAAAGTTCTTTTAAGACTAAACTCTACTGTTTATTCTGTTTTAAGTTCTGCACAAGCGTATTTACGCCCTTTTCACAGACTGCATTGCTTTTCCGCTTTTCAACTCATGAATGCATAACGAGAAAGGAATAAACAGTTGCATGAACAGCTCAGTAATTCTCAAATATAAAAGCAGTTCCTTTATATTCCTAACTATAAATAAGGTTAGAAATACTCCCTTATTCTAATGTAGCGTGAAAAGACAGAAATTCATTTTTTATATACTCAGGTGGGAAAGTCTATCAATTATAGTCTTATAAAAGTTTTGCATTTTTTCACTCACTATAAAGTATTTGCTCATGTCACATCAACATTTTATTAAAATGCAAGATTTTACTAAAATATTTTAATTTTGGAAAACAAATGTTGCACAACATTCTACACATCGCAAATCTAAACACAGTGCAGTAAATGCAAATAGCAGCTGCAAGATGTTGGAGACCCCCAAATGTTTAGTATTAAAGAAGAATTACCTCATAGTAGTAGCTTCGGCATTTGGAAATGATATCCTGAATTCACAAGTCTCTCATATTATATTATAGCCACATAATATAATATATTCCATAGAATGAATAAATTCTAATTTGATTTGATTGTAAATTCCAGTAAGAGAAATGCCAGTGCTTTTTGATCACTGATAATTAAATATTACTCTATTCTCGGAATTAATTGGAATGTTTTGCAGAGAAAGAAAACTCAGAGCAGTGGTAGTTAGGAAGACACAGGCTCAGCTTGTCTTATATTGTAGGAAGAATATAAGACACAGAACAAGAATCTAGTCCATTACATGTGGATGGTAAAGTTTATCAAAAATGCAGTGTTCGCTCATATTCCGTAAAGACACACTTTTCCTCCCATTAACCTCTGAAACACCCAGCCCACCGAGACAAGGAAACCCCATCTGCTACAACTCCCAAGCCAGTCTTCTCTTATAGGAATTCGTATCATCTTCATCTTCAAATTAAAGGACATTGATGCTTTAACACATTTCTATCTTTGGGTTCAAAGCCCACTTTCAGCAAATCTCAATTTAGACCCACGCTATTTTAGGAATCATTTTAGCTTCTTAATCCCCCAAAGAAGTGACAACGTAAAAAATGTTCACATGCAAGGGGAAGACAATTTAGATTGCACCAGTGGTGTCATCAACATTCTGCCCAACTATTGGTATTCCCACACTTTAAAGAAAATAATCTTTAAAGATAAAAGAAAGGTAAATAAAAGCGCAGCACCCCACTGAAACACCATGCCAGATAATCCCACCAATAGGCTCCTCACAGCAAGGTTCCCTCCCCGCTGTCTCAGTCCTTCCCACCCTACGGCCAGTATCAGTGAGCAAAAAATTACATCAAGATCCAACATTGGCAACGTGAAGGTTGCTTTGTGATCAGCATCGCTCCCCCAGTCATGCAGAATATACCCCATCAGCCACTGTTCCAAGGTTGCGTCCACACGGGGGATTCTCCTATCCCAGACACCTAGGCCTACCTGTCTGCCACTTAGAGAGGGAAGAGTGGTGGACTGCGCTGCCACTGGTATTTGAGTACACAAGCTCCTTTCCTGCTGGAGGCCACTTATACAACCCCATGCCAGCTGGGGGTCATTCTGGGGGACGGGCATATCTTGGATCTGCTGATCACACCTGGCCCATGGTGTGCAGCAATCGCCAGACAGTCTGGCAGGTTGGAGAGTAATCCCACGCTGGCCCCTTTCCCAGGGGGCTTGGCAGGAGAGATCCTGTGGGAGAAGGAATCTCCATTTTCTGGGAGAAAGAGGAGCACTGTAGCAATACTTTTACTTTATTACTTTTCTACTCTTGACTTTTTTCTTTCACTCTGGGTAACGCATTTACAACAACTGCCATTAAAATTAGCTTTAAATCCACGTAATAAATCAGCACCAACATCATGGGAAGCTGAACACTGCAGCTTCTTCACACCATACAGCATTCGCTCTAAAGCACTAGAAGTAGGGCATTATACTCTAGTCCATTTGAAAGCGGATGGCACAGACCAATGGCTCCCTTTCGGATTTCAGGTGAATTTAAGGTAAACTGGGGCTAAATTTAGCATACATGTAATGAACCAGAAAAGTGTGATTAATCTAGTCTAAGATTTCAATATATTCCATTCATCATATTTCCATGATGATTTATTTAGAAGTTTGTTTGTGCTCTAATTTGTCCAATAGCCAATGGCATTGGAAATATTCAAATTAGTCAAAGCCAAGTGGTTTGAGATTTTGGAAAAATGTGCTGTTTTACCAAAACAGGAATAAACCAAATGCAAATAAACATCAAATAAAAATACTCTAAAGTATAATGAACCTACTCTGGTTATAAACAAACTTGATCACATAACACACAAACAGGGCTTCTAAATAACCGTGTTTATGACATTCTGTTTTCATTGACACATATACCAGAGCATAATGAACGCAATGTTTTTTGGATCATTTGTACGTAGATTTTAAGAAAAAGCATGTAATTTTTGACAATTCAATGAAATTTAAAAATGAATCAAGGGTCCAATATAGAATACATCATCTATTGGTTTTAGATTTAACAAATGAAATTCTTCAAAGAGGAACTGAAATATTCCAGCATTGGTTGGTTAGTTGGTTTCTATTTCAGTATAATTTTTTTTTCTAGGCATTCACAAGTTTGCTTGTTTGTTTTTTTAAAAGAATGTCTTTGGTTGCAAATGGCACTAACCAACCATCAGAAACAGTTTTATAAAACCCCAATCTTTAATAAAAATTGTCCTTTTGGATTTGAGAATTCATTTTGGGTTCTCTATAATGATATAGGAAGGTTTTGTTGGTAAATGTTCAATTACCTTACTGACTAATTCTAGCAAGGTTCTAGAAATAATGATTTAGAAATAACATTTAGAAAATATGAGAAAGGGGACAGAGAATACATCACACAATCTAGATTTATTAATAGGATGCATACACAACTATTCAGGTAGTCACTAAGTGAGGGCTGTTAGTACTCACAATGGAAAAAGTACACAAATAATACAAAAAATTAATGAGAGATTCAAGATGTTGCTATGACAATAACATGAAAATGAGGTGTTAATAAAATCTAAATCAATTCTGGTGATAGCTGAAAATTTAAATAATTGCAAAACAGAGATATTAAAATTCAACCTTGCTATGTGACTTAGATTAATCCCGATCAAGTATATTTAAAAATATGTGTTAGTGTTAACAAAGAAAACAATTGAAGTTATTTTTCTTAAGGAACCATGTATCATTAGAAAGTCACCCTAAAACTTGTCCTCGCATTAAAAGAAACTCATCGATTGTTCTCAGGTGTCAAAGAGACAAAACTTTCAGCAATTTAACAGCACTGTAACATGCTAGTCAGTTGGCTCTTTTCTAAATGTGTGCTTTGGCCTCGCATGGTTTGTATCAATGCCTCCTCAGAGGCTGAAAGCAAACCTCTGCCCTGACAAAGAAGAAACAAAGCCTACGGCTCAGACTTGTTTCTTTCTGCTTTCGATCAGCTTGAATCTCTCTGGTGTTGTGGTCCGTAGGAGGGGGTGGCATGTCAAACTCTCAGTCAGCACTGGGACATTACACCAGTGCCTCTCAAAGCACCAGCCTGCTGCAAAGAAAGGAGCCACCAGGAAACCAAGATGGACCAGCAGAGCTTGCTCAGCTTATCGAAAAAAATCTACTCGAATAACAACTCCAGAAAAACCAAAGGACTAAAGAGAAGATAAAAGAAACAAAAGCTAAAAGGTTCACCTTAACTTTCCCAGCATTTTCGTTGTCTTCTTTTTTTTCCTCAAATTCAAAGGCAACAGTCATGCGCTGCTGTCTCTGCTCCTCCCACAGTGTAGGGTTGAAGCTGTCGCTGTCTGACTGGAAATCTACAGCCAGAGTCCAAAGTGTTACTGAGGTTAAAACATAGAGTGTTACCCATGCCGCTTAATATACTACGCAAAAGACCGGGGAGAGGTGCTATGAATGAATACAAAACCAAAAAAGAAAGTGGGGGAGAAGCGAGCAAGAAGTAAAGAGAGGAAATGAGAAAGAACTAAGGAAAGAAAGACCAAAGAAGGAGTCCGATCCCCTCGTTATTTATTACAACACCTTGTCTTCTAACATCTTAGGTCAAATCTGCTTCTTCGTAAGTTAGACAAAGCGTCTGGGAAGATTTTTTAATGCAGGAAATGGGGTTCCCAGAGGACAACAGAGACAACACAGAGAGCTGACAAAGCCCTCTATCCCGCCTCTGTCCTCACAGCGGCCGAACGGCAGCACTGATACCACCCTTATTGTATGAATGAAGAAACTATAGCTGAATTTTCCAACCCTTGCTCGAAGTCACACAGCTTTTCTGGGGCTGGTGTAGAATTCTATTCTACATGATTGCACATCTCCTATTTGTAAACATTAAACTCTCACTCAATATGTTTTCTAAAAAACAGAAGATACTGTACCATGCTGATTCTGTGATAAAGTGACCACGGTTGCAAGTCTTTCGTTTGTTCTTTGAGGTTTGTGTACATGCGTTTGCGTGTGTATGCGTGTGTGTGCCTGATAGAGAAGAGCTTGCTTTTCGGGTGGAAAACAAGTGGAAATTGTAGTCTTTAACATTAAGATGTCAATTAGTTTAAATGTGTCTGAAATTAACAGGGAAAATGGCTTATAATTTTTTCATGTCAAAATGTTGGCTGTATTTTCTTGGCCATGTAATTGCAAAGATCACATGAAAATGCAATAAAAATACTTAGTTTTGACCAAGTTCTTTTCCAAAAGATAGCCCTCGTAGTATTTCTTTGTTTATCGCAAGGGATGCTGAACATTCAGTAATTGTAGTCCTGCCTGACAAACTGTCAAGGTGGTCTACCTAAAGTTCAGTGAAAATTTTCAACTAGCAATTTTTCTTATCTCAAAGGAAAAACAAAAACAAACAAGCAAATAAAAAACCGAGTAAGCAAATGCAGGTTCTTTCACAGGACGCTGTACCTGACTATATCTCTCTCACACTCTGGAAAAACCAGACTTCATTTGTGAGACTGGCTCTCAGACACAACGATGCATCTGAAACACTTTTCATTTTTTCTATACATCCTTTGGAAATGAAACATTTTGATAATCTAGGGATAGTAAAATGAAAATGTGAGTAAAGCCATGTGAAAAAAATATTCCTTTAAGATTTCTTGTATAAGTAAACATGGTACCTTTACTCTCATAAATTCAAAAGACAAATTTTACTGAAGACTGAAAGAAAATATAAAAACAACATCATTTTTCTACTTCTGTGAGTCAAAATGAGAATAAAAATATCATAAAAGTATCTCCAAGTGATTCACTTATATTTGGAAGTCAAAGCCATTTATTGTAATTATCCCTGAAAATAAGAAATGCTCAACCAAATGGTTTATTTTATAAGCTGGTCTCATTTAAATCAGCTGGGTGGATTTAATCCACAGTGAGAGTACGGTGGGTTTACTCTTCCCAGAATTATTGGGCTCTACAACTAGAAAGTGTGCCTGTCAGCTTCAGCTGGCTCGGTTTGAGCAGCCCGTGCTGACTTTCAAATAGTATAGGACAAACTGCTTTAAAAGTGTTGTGAAGGGGCTGGGGAATTTAGCTCAGTGTTTCTGGCACCTGCTTTCCAAGTGCAAGGGCCCGAGTTCCATTCCTGGTACCAAAAAGGAACAAAAAAAAAAGTGTTATGAAGGATGGGATATAGCTCAGTGGCACAGCGCCTGTCTGCAAGTACAAGGTCTTGTGTTCAATCCCGGTACCGCAAAAAAAAAAAAAAAAAAAA